CTCAATAAATAGGCTTTTGGAGTGGAAAGGTGAAGTGCAACCTAGATTTTGTGGAGTGGAAATGAGCTTTTAGCGTGTTGAGGAACGGTTGTGTCAAAGCAAGTAGGTTTGCAGTATGTCCTATGTACATGTTTAGGCTCGTGGCAGAATGTAATACGCATCCCAGCAACACTGAGGCACGTGCTCAAAGTTGAGTTGGTGAGATGCAATCCAGTAATCCAAACAGTTGTAGGCACAGTTAGGAGTTCTGAGCTTTTTGCACCAATCTTTTAAGCGTATAGTATTATTGATTCAAACAAATGAAGATAGCGGTCCTTGTGACTCGTGTTTTGGGCGTCAAAAGGCTTAAAGCATTGCACAATTTATTCAGCAACAATTATTCCATAAATACATAAGAATAGTTTGTTCTCGCACCCAGATAACATATAGCATTCCTCGTCATGGATGGGATCGTTTTCTAATAGTGTGACGCAGCCAGCTTGTAGGCGGGCTTGTAGTTGGGCTGCGGGTGGCAAGAGGGGCGAGCGTAGGCCTGGTCGTAACGGGCCTCTCCATCGTACTTGACGTCAGCGACGTAGCCGGAGTAGGCATCAGCCACGGTGTAGATCACCTTCTGGGTACGGCCGTCGGGAAGGACAACAGAGTAAGAGCCCTGGGTGCTGTAGCCATCGCGACCCTCCTGGGCGTTGATCTGGGGCTCGTAGTCTCCGTAGCCGTGAACGTCGTAGTTGAAGTTGTACTTGGGCGGCTGGTCGTAGCTCTGCTGGTGAACAGGGGCATAGCTAGGCTTGTGGTAGGCCGGGGCCGGGGCCGGGGCATAGCTGGTCTGGTGGTGGGCCGGGACCCTGTAGCTGGGGGCGTTGTCGGCGGCAGCAACAGCCAGAACAGCGGCGAGCAGGAACAGCTGGAACCATGTTGAGTATGTCATATTGATGACATCATTTACACAAGCGTGGCTACCTTTTGTACTCATGACTTGACTTTATCGAAGAAACGGACTCGCCGCAAAGCACCATATACTGTATGTCTGTCGATTGCTGCTTGAAGACGTGAAAAGACGGCGTATCAAGCAACGTGTTGCCTTGCCCTCCTTCATGCCTACTGATGTGCCTTGCACGTACTGCGGAAAGTAATACACACGGCCATCGCAGGCAAGTTACGTCAAGCAAAGGGAGTGTTTTCCCGCGGCTTCAAGTGACCACACATCTAGAGTGGTTTTAACTAGATGCATACCCAGAATATGTCTGGCATGTGCACTGTTTTACATCCCGAACACTTGCCTTCATGTTGTGCGGTAAGGTGTGTGGGATCAAGTGATACCAGTCGTGGTGGTGTCGCGCCTTTTATACTGTAACTGGCGGCTGACCAATTTTCCTGGCCTATGACATGATATGCAGGGGAGGGGCGGGTGTGGCGTGTGACCCCAGCTCTAGAGACCAGGGACGCCCGATGTGGGTCACTGTGACCTGTGGTCACCGTGCGATACTTGGGGGGTGAACAGCCGCCACTGTCGGTGGTGTAACCCGACTTCAAATACCGATTGGTTCTTGTTATGGTGTGGGCAATGATTTTGGACGCTTCTACACTGGTGCCGTTTTTCCCCGCTGATCAGCACACACCGTCCTTATAATTTTTTTAGAATGGAACGTAAACATTTCATTATGTTGACTGCATGTCCTTACTGCTGCCTTACTGTCTGATGTTAGCCAGCGAATTGATAATAGCAATGCGCTACCGATAAAAGTAGGAAGCGAAAACGGTAGCGAGCTTTCTTTGTAGTGCTTTGGTAGCAATAATACTCTGTGTTCTCACCAATGTGTCTCGCTGGATTAAGTGCGCTCAACCCATGGAATACTTCGAAACTTATGAGATGGGTTTGTTGCGGCTAGCAGAATTTCAAACATGCTTAAGCATGTTGTCAAAATATTGCTTCGACATAAAGTAGTATATATAGTATAGTTTTTCAATATAGTATATACATATATACACATATATATATATATATATATATATATATATATATATATATATATATATATATTGTCAAGACCCTCGTCATAGGTATGGCATGGGATACTCAGGTCAAAACTAACCTGTTTTGTTACTCTAGAGCTTGCTGTTGGGTCTAGTTTGTGGCACTCATTGTCAACGAGATTATATATATATATATATATATATATATATATATATATTATATATATATATATACATGTATATAATATATAACACAACATATATATATATATATGTATATATATATATATATATATATATGTATATATATATATATATATATATATATACATATATATATATATATATATATATATATATATATGTATATCGCTGGCGCTACATGATAACATATTTTGGTTTGTCTGCTAATTGGCCCTCCACCCAAGCGAAGTTTATTCGTCCGGCCACCCGGGTGTGTATTCAGCAAGGTACGATGACGTTATCAAACAGTGACGTGTTAGGGTGCACATTCATTCAACAGTGAAATTATGTCGTCTTGAACAGTATTTTTCACTTCAAGCTGTACGACTAGTAGTGAATGAGCTTATTTTATCACATCTGATGTGTTTTTCTTTAATATCTTCAAGAGTGAACATTCTCTTTAAAGACGCTGTCCCAAGACATCTGCAATCATTTTCCAGATTTAAACGCGGCACATTGACCTTCAAAACACTTCACCCATTGCATCGCACTGAAAACAAGTAACACCCAGTCGCCGGTTGATCCGTCCCATATACAGCTAGACGACGTGCTTAATGGCAGAAATATATGACCCCCCGGCTGAACTCATGCTCCCTTCCTCCATGCTCAACGTGACCATCTCTGTCGAAACCGCAAACGGGGGCCGACAAGAAACCAAAGATTACGCATGCCGGTTAGCGTTACGTCACCAGACTTTCCACCAATGGTGAGACGGGCGTTATCTGTACGACCACAACAACTGGCAACGCTTTGACCTATGCCCTGCGCACGGCTCGGGTGGAACGGGTAGGGCTCAGCAGGCCTCTCGGCAGCACCGTCAGAAGACAGACAGTTCGCAGACCTCGTGGAGTGTGGCTCGCTCTGTCGGAGCACGACCGTGGCCACCGCTCCGTGCAGATACCGCGTACACCTCTCCTAGGTCAAGGCTACCGTGCCACGTGCCACCACCGTCATCTCTCGCTCCGCAGCCGTCATGACGTCTGGTGAAGACGGCGCGGCGCTGGCGTGGATCGCCTCTACCCTGTCGCCACTGATGAGGCTGGCAATACGCTGCTCACTGGGCGAAGTGTTCCTACCGGTCTACTACGTCCTGGTGCACGCGACTCTGGCGCTCTACCGGCCGGCGCGTGCCGTCTACCAACTGTGCTGCAGCATGCTCTAGCTCATGCCGCGGCCGCGCCTGCTTCGCGGACAAGTGCTGCTGGTCGACATGGGCCGGCCGCTGCCGCTGACCGTGCTGCGGCTGTACCTGCTGTTGCACCTGCTCCGCTGGGGCTACAGCTGGCTCCTGACCGTCGACCAGACCAGAACGAACAGATCAGACCAGAACAGAACAGGACAGAACGGCCGGGTGTCAGGAGCTGGCGGGCAGGACTAGTTCCCCACAGCACTATACCTTACAGCACGAGGAGCACTACTAGCACCATCCCCAGCAGCGGGGAGCCGCCTTTGTACAGGGACAGCGGCTGTGAGCTGCTGCCACACCAAGACGACAGCTGTAGGCACAGGGTCTGGACCCTCGTCAGCTGAGAAAGTCATACTGGCTATGGTTAATTCAACAGGTAGATTGCGTGCCCAACTGTAGGTGAGTTTTTAGTCAATGGCGCATTTAACCACGTAACAAGCGTGTTGCAAATGTGACTTACTGTCCCGTTCCCAACTTCCTACAATTGCTTTTGGATGAAGGCTAGGGCATGATTATCGTTTAACCTGTAGACCCAATAAATTGGGTTATGTGATGCGTGTCTTGTGTGGTCGAATCTATGCGCAGGCACCCTACACGTAGACGATGCAGTTTTGGAAAAACACTAACAAACTGAGAGCTCCAGCGAAATGCGACTTTTTAGTGAAAAGCACCCAAAGCTAACCATAGGAGAGCTTAAAACCATCCAGCAAAACAACATGCCACCAACCATATCCAGCAATAGCCGGCATGTTATGTGAGCCGGCGTGTCGCCTGTGGGCGTAGTGACTGTGACCGGGAGCTAGGAACGCCCTGTGTGGCCGTGGAGACCCTGCGGATATGGTGAGGTCACTGACCCTGAGCCGAGGGGCGACGCCCGAGGTACGGATCCTGGCCGTGCGTGACTGAACGCCGTACTGACGCTTGGGTTTTGATGAACGTGGGTGAAAACGCATTAACCGCGCTCGGGCGAGGGGAAGAGGGGGTCAAATCGACCCTTCCCCGAAGGATTTTCCGAAATGATCTCCGAAAGGCGTGGTTACGCCGCGCCCAATTTTGCGCAGCTGTAGATAATGGAATAACAAATCGTCTGGCATCATAAACTTGGATGTAAATTGTGGGGTCGCTGAACTATGGCAGGTCGGTCAGACCATCGCTTCCCCACGGGCAGTTTCTAGAGAATCGCTCAATCCGATCCAACAACGGAGTGTTAGATGAAGCCACACATCTCTGAGATACTTTCTTAAGCAACACAGCAATTGCATGAACAAATTACATTGACCCAAGGCCAGGTATGAAGGTCAGACCAAGATCAAACCCCACCCGTTTTATTACTCCAGCGGTTGCAAAATGGAGTAGTTCCTGGTGCTCGTTTCGAAGTCATTGATAGCAGGAACCGCATTATACACCTTCTATAGACTTCTCAAAGGTCAGAATAGGTCACTGACCTAGAATGACCCAGGACATTTTGTTTTCAGGCCATCCCATTTGCCTACGCTCCGCGATGTTTGCAGACGACCCGTAAGAGCTCATATAAGTTCAGCAAAATGTATTCCTACCACATGTAAAACAACCATCTCTGATAAAAAACCGGGAGTAGATGAGTTTGCGACCTCAGAACACATTAACATACACGACTGACTTAATCCGCCACAGCAACTGGTAGTTCTCGAACTGGGCCATGTATAACTCTCGAACTCGGCCATGTCTAGTTCTCAAACTCGGCCATGTATTGTTCTCGAACCCGGACGTCCGCAGTTCTCAAAATCGGCCATGATGCATCCGCTGCCACCTTTCGCCGCAGTCCAGAGCACCGACACTGGCAGCATATTGTGGCCGTTTATTGCCTTCAGTCGGCTACACAGCACACCACTCACAACACACCAGCCCGCCCAGGCCGGCCGGCCGCACGGAGGGCGCAGCCCTCCTCTGGCGCCGAGGCGCGCGGAGGTCCGCGACCGCCGCGCGCTGACTCGAAGCACCATATCACAGCGTAAATGGGCGGCGACTGCACGACCTGCTACAGAAGCTCGCGTCCACACTCGGAAGGCAGTTTGTACCGGGCACCGCTCCGTCCCCAAAGCGGCTCTGCCGTCCCGCGCGGGCCCGATTCCGTTCGAGTAGTCCGCCGGCGCGGCGCGGCGCGGCTCGGTGCTCTTTGGTTAACACAGTAGCCGTCAGATCGCGCTTATATGCTTGGGTCCCCCGCGCGAGGTACACGGCCCGCGGGCCATCACTGAGCGTCGTCCCCAGCAGCAGTCCCCTATGCGTGGGACGGACAGGCCGGAAGCGAGTCGAGCGCCACCTCTCGGCGGCAATGAACAGCTAAACTTGTGACAGAGGACAGCACCGGCGATGCGCCCCACGACATATCGACCGCACGTTTCCCGAAAAGCGGAGCTGAGCACAGCGGTACACATTCTAACAAATATAACCACTGAGTAACCTGTCCTCTGACGGACAGCATCTCAGAATAATAGTCTGACATGCCAGCCCCACTGGGCCCCACCCCCGCTCAGCAGACGCAATACCCGGGCAAAACAAGGCTGAGTAGCTCTGCCCGGGGCGAGCGCGATGCGCGCGCCCCTGTCGGCGGCTCAGACCACCTCCAGCCCCTGCACGTGGCTCCACTGCTGGCCGCCGGCCGCTGTGCAGGTGAGCTCCAGCTTGTAGTAGCCGGCGGAAAAGAAAAGCAAGCCGACAGGATGGAGAAGAGCACCGTCCTACCGGCACCTGGCGGCAGAAATATGAAACTGAGGCGCAGGCACCGTAACAACTTTGAAGGGTTGGAGCCATCAGGGGCGTCAAACTTTACAAATGGAGGGGGGCGGGGGCAGCCGAGGGTTCAACCATCTAACCTCCTCCAAATGCGTTTTTTTTTTAAACGGATTCAGCCCACTTTATTTTGACCGACAGTTTTCCAAAAATTGTATCACGTTAGCACAATCCTTCATTTGCGCCGCACAGTAGTCATAACCAGCGAACAATGCTTAAAGCGGATAAGCGTTGCGTGACAGCCAGCTTTTTCCAAGCTTTGGTAATATTTCAGCCCAAATTACTGGGAGTTCCCAAGACAATATCAGAGATCCAACGTTACATGGGAAGGAAGCCGGGGCCTCACCAATCACCACCTCTGGCTGGGGTAATACTGGGAGCGAGAGTGCCGCAGTAGATGGAGGGACAAGACGACAGTGGGAACAACAGCAAACCGGCCGAGGAAAAGCGTGACATATATTGCGGCTGTGCTTCCCTGAAACTAGTGGCGTAATTCCGCAGCAGCGCACACGCCTACACAGAAAATCATATCCGGTGTTGCCCTTAAATCCGTGTTTTCTAAGCACTTGACTACGCTCTAACATATCTGGCATCATAGCTACAGCATTAAAAGCCAGCATTATCGTAAGCATACAGGGTACACATGAAGCTGTGCAACATTTCATCCCGGCGGCAACATTAGTTACAAGATTGCACCCCTGGCGAAGGCTGCGTAATCAGGGCCAGCGACAGAACCCCCTTTGACATCAACAAGACGCACAATCCAGCAAAAAAGGCACCAATTCAGCCTAAGAAGCGGCCAGACCACGCCGCCGTGCCGACCCACCCGCTCCGCTCCACCCACCTGGTCAGCGTGACGGCTGAGCGCGCCGGAGACTGACACCTTGTTCTCCAGCCGGTAGCTGAGCGCGCCGTTCTGGTGGTCCTGGTACACGCTCAGCTTCAGCGTGACGTCACGCATCGCCGACTGGCTGCAGTTGACCACGCGGATCTCGCCGTTGATGACGTCACCGATGCGTGCCTGGCGGTCGCCATGGCTACCGGCCGCCTCGCCGTTCCACAGCACGTCTGCCGGACGGCAGATGTCAGTACAATTTCAGTGGAATGAAGCCTGCCCGAGCCGACAAACAGCCAGCAAGCAGACTACAAGACACCAGCACGATACTCACCGTCCCCTTGCACCCGTCGCCTATCGCACGAAAGCTACTCCTTTGACCCCCTCGCCCACCAGTGCGCTGACCTCCGCCCCTGCCACCACATCCCTTTCCTCCGTCACCTCCTCTCGGCTGAGCGGAGTGAGCCATCCGACATGAGCGCCGCGCACAAGCGCCGTGGCCAACCCTGAGGCCACACGGCCCGCCATAGCGGCGGCGGCGGCGGCGGCGGCGGCCGACGTACCCCATCTGACGGGAGACATGCGCAGCGCGTCCAGCATGGGGGCGCTCCACGTGACGCCGCGCAGGTCGGCCGTGCCGTGGCGCTCGCCCTCGGCCGTCCGCCAGAGCAGCGTCACCAGCCGCGTCACGTGGTCGCTGACGTCACAGCCCGAGTCGGGCGGCTGCGGCCCGTCCGGCGGCGGCTGCCCGCCGGCCGGTGGCACCGCCGGCTCCTGTGAGCGACGGGACATCGGGCTTCAGGTCATCGCCCGACGTAGGGCAGTGGCAGAGCCACCGGCTCGGAGACCGGGCGGCCAGGCCGACGCCGTCTGACAACAACATCAAGACCACACCGGCAGCCGTACCATATCCTGGTGGCAACGCACGCACGTTTTCACCCCGCTGTGGTCCGACGGGGTGGACAGTGACCGTGCGACGATAGTAATATTAACTGTCGCGCGCCCTGTCCGCAGTCACCACATGTACCGACTCGCGAACAGTGCAGACGGAGACTGCGACTCCCGCCCCACGGCGAGGACGGCAGTCGTCTGCGCAGGGGCCGAACAGAGGCAGACGGCGGTCGCACGGCGCGCAGCTGCGCCAGTCGGCGGCGCCGCATCGCCCTCCGCCGTACCGTCGGCGGCCGGAGGGGGCACCGGTCGACGGGCACGGGCACGCGGCACGTCTCGCCGCCCTCCATCAGCAGCCGCTTGCCGTCCGTGTACTGCAGCTCCAGCTCGGCGTCCGTCGCGTTCAGCACGTCCAGCACCAGGTAGCAGGAGCTGAGGCTGCGGGCGGGGCGCGGCCGCCGGGTCAGGTTCGTGATGCCGTGATGCCGATGCCGCTGCCGACCAGCCCCGTCGGCAGTCTGCTCGCGCACCTGCTTTTCAGAGGGGTGCTTTCCACTAACATCTGTGCAGAGTGGACAACCAGAGAGACTGCCAGCTTTCTTACCCAAGCTTGGCAACGGACGACTAGGTACCGACCACTCAGTCAGCACTGGCACACTCGAATGTACTTTTGAAAGGGGCTGTTTGTGGCAACGTGCATGTGAGCATGAGACACATGCGCCAGCAAACAATCGTAGCACTGGCGAGGTTTCAACATTGTCCTTAAAGACCAGCTGACGCACGTAGCATGACACATCTACGGCATCCTCTCAGCGAAATACGCGGAACCCTTCCCAGAGGGCGCAGCGGGCGCCTCCGAGCGCTGCGCCACCGCCGTCGCTCCCGCGCCACCGCCGCCGCCACGCGCCACTCACGTCTCCGCCGGCAACACGTCCCACTTGGTGATGTAGACGGAGGGCAGCACGTCGACGGATACGAGGATGTTGAAGGCGCGGCAGAAGCCGGCCGCCAGGCCAGGTCCGCCCGAGTAGCGCACCTTGAGGATGCCCTCCACCACCTGCCGCAGACGTCCGCCGCTCGGGTCAAGCCACGGCAAGGATCCACGCCACAGCTGATTGACGCCGCGCCCACCGCTGATGGCTAACATAGGGCCTGTGTATCCGGCTTAATCAATTTTATTTAGTTTAGTTTGGTGTCGAGAGCTTTATTTTAGACGAGTTCAACATTCATGGCTTTAGTTTATTTCATGGCTATCATCATGGCATCAGGGCATGGCAAGACATACCACGGCTATTACTTTATTCAATTTAGTACTTGGAGCTTTAGTTCAGTCAGGTTTGGTATCCAGCTTGGAAATGTGAGAGCATAAGGCGCAGCGCAGCCGCTCTATGGTGTCACCGACAAGATGACTTCATCAGCCATCAGCCATCAGCCAGCGCTAGCGAGAGCGGGACGCTGACCTTGGCCGGGTAGCGGGTCTCCTGGAGGCTGGGGCGCCGGGCCAGGCTGGACACGGCCGTCTGCCCGCCGCTGCCCGACGACAGCGTACTGCCGCCCCCCAGCGACGGCGTCGACTCGCCCGGCGCTCGGCGGCCGCGGCCCGAGGACAGCGCACTCGAGAGACGCGAGGGGAGGGAGGTGGCGGCCGAGCTCATCAGGCTGGGCGCTTGGCTTCCCGTTAAGCTGGCGGACTCGATAGCTGAAAGCCACATCAGTCGGCGTCAGTCGGCGTCAGCGTCGTCAGCGTCATCAGTCAGACAGACATCACCCAGGTATGACCAGTCCTGACAGTGATGGACCAGGTACGTAGCAGTCAAGGGTAAAGTTTCGCAAAATAGGTTTGGTGGGGGGGGGGGAGGGGACCGGCAAAAAGTGGCCAAACCTTTCCCATTCCAAATGTTTGCCAAGAAACAGGATTTTCCGGACTCCACGGATCTTTCCCAATTTCTTCTCAAAGTTTGGGAGCTGGAGCCCTCCACTTAATAGGAAACACCACCCGTCGGTGACACAAAATGTGTTGCATGGTATTGACTTCTGGCACTTATAAGACAACAATGTTCGAGTACAACGATAACCCACGTCATGAGATGTTGGACCGCCATCAAGCTAAGTACATGCTCCAAATGCAACAGAACTAAGCAAAAACCATGCAACTAGCGGCAAATCCTTCACGAGAGCAGCTAAAATACGACACACGACGCCCTTACCCCATGCACCTAGCACCAACAGTCCGCGAACATGAAAACAACACACACTCCTGCTTCGCCCTAATCTGTGCTCCACTTCATCCTGGGGCTTTGCCCTAGCGCGACACACACCCGAAACAGGGGTGGGAGTGCGGGGGGGGGGGGGCAGTGCTCCTGCCCTTAATGGCACTGCGCACGCGCGGACGGCCAAGACACCGCCGCGCTGGCCGGGTCACCGGCGTCGTACCTTCGGGCTCCTCGCCGTGCAGGACGAAGTCGTGGCAGGCGGTGACTGTGAGGGTCAGCTGGGCGGCGGCGCCCGGCGCCAGCGGCAGCTGCTCGGCCAGCTGCTCCGGCCGGAACGCGAAGAGGCGGCCGTCGTGCGGCGGCTCGAGCGTCACCTCCAGCCGCTCCACCGGCTGCGACGAGCTGTTCTGCAGGCTGATGGTGACCTCGTGGCTGCGGCAGAGTGTGACACCGGCTGGTGAGGCGGTCATGCCAGCGGCGGTGCCAAGCGCAGTCGTCACCCCAGACCACCCAGCCACCACATCGAAGACCGCAGGAGACGGCACTGCGCCGGCGTTCGGCTGCCCCCGCTGACCCACCGCAGACACACACACGCGCGCGGTCCTCTGAACCAGGCGTCATCTCTGGCACCACACCCGCGCCCGGTCATCCCCATCAGCGCCCACCCACCTCTCTCCGGCCAGCAGGCTGAGGTGGGCGCCGCTAACGATGCCGCAGCCGTCGAACGGCGCCGGCCCGCCCAGCTTGGCGGCCGACGTGGACACCTGCAGCTGGGGCAGCGCCGGCACCACGGCCACCGTGTACTGCGACACGTCCACCCAGTCCATGTGCTTCAGCCGGCAGTTGGAGCGCACGCCCAACACGGTGGCCGTGTAGCCTGTGGCGACGGCGGCGGCGACGGCCAGTCAGTCACGCACGCAGGCGGATACGGGACGGTTTAGTGTACCCAAGGTCACAGCTTAAGCTGGAACAGCAACCGCGCACTCTCATTACGGAGCTAGTGCAGTGATCCCGACTCTCCACCACGGCCCGCCCACAGTACTCAGCAACGGCCTGTCTTCTCACCTTACCGCCGAAGCGCGATTGTGAGCTTTATCCATATCTCACCTGTCGCAGTGACCAACACTATTCCTGCGAAGCAGACTGCCCACCCGCCATTGATGTGCTATCGTCATCCTTGCTATCGTGACGTTGTTATGCGTGTATGTGTTACGTGCTTATTGATGTGCCATCGTGCTCCGCCCTGAGCTCCAGCGTCCAAACAGCGCTCCCCGCCGGCGAGCGCCGTCGCCGCTGACCTGTGATGGTGACCTGGCCGGGCGCCTGGGGCGCTCCCCTGAGCTCTAGCGTCCAAACAGTGCTCCCCGCCGGCGAGCGCCGCCGCCACTCACCTGTGATGGTAACCTGGCCGGGCGCCTGGGGTGCGCCCACCAGGTTGACGGTGTGCTGTCCGGAGCCGGCCGCCAGCGTCAGCGTCGAGGGGAACGTGTCGAGCGGCGCGCCGTCGCACAGCAGGCTGACGGCCGTCACGCGCAGGTCGGCCGGCAGCAGGTTCTCCACCGACAGCTCCACCTGGCTCAGCTCGCCCGCCACCCAGTTGAACTCTGCGCGGCACGAGAGAGCGACGCGCTGTTCAGACAAGGACGCGCCGTGCGACGGAGCAGGAGGATTGGAAGTAAGAGGTCAAATCGCCCCTTTCGTCGACATGGTATTCGACGTTATGCGTGCAAAAGATCATGCACCTTCTCCAAGTGCACAGTTCCCTGTGTAACTTTACAATCTAATTAATACAGACGATTGTATATTCAGTGAAATTAAATCTAATTAATGTCTTAAATTCAGGACACTGGGCATTGAATTGCACATACGGAATCAGACAATCTTTAAAATGTCTGGCAAACTGTCAGTGTCCAGAGACAAAAGTGTTAAGCAACAAGACAAACGCGTGCCAAAGCCCTGCAGCTCCCCACCACTCCCGTCAGCAGGCCCGCCCCGTGCCATGCACTCCCGTCAGCAGGCCCGCCCCGTGCCATGCACTCCCGTCAGCAGGCCCGCCCCGTGCCATGCACTCCCGTCAGCAGGCCCGCCCCGTGCCATGCACTCCCGTCAGCAGGCCCGCCCGTGCCATGCACTCCCGTCAGCAGGCCCGCCCCGTGCCATGCACTCCCGTCAGCAGGCCCGCCCGTGCCATGCACTCCCGTCAGCAGGCCCGCCCGTGCCATGCACTCCCGTCAGCAGGCCCGCCCGTGCCATGCACTCCCGTCAGCAGGCCCGCCCGTGCCATGCACTCCCGTCAGCAGGCCCGCCCCGTGCCATGCGCTCGCGACTCTCACCCAGCTTCTCACGGTCCTTCTTCTGGCGCCGCAAGCTGCCGAACTGCAGCGGGCTGAAGATGAACGGACCGTGGTCGTCGGCCTTGGGCCGCAGCAGCAGCTGGGGCCGCAGGTGGACGGGGTACTCCAGCGGCCGGAACCGCCTGCGGACGGGCGAGGGCCGGTCACGCGAGAGACGACGCTCTGGTACGGCTCCGCGCCGGCGGACACATGGAGTGGCGGCATTTCACAACGACGGGCACGTGGAGGCGTACAGCTCCATGACAGGACCGTGGAGTGGTGGCATTTCAAAACGACGGGCACGTGGAGGGGTACAGCTCCACGACAGGACCGTGGAGTGGCGGCGCTTCACAGCGACGGGCACGTGGAGGGGTACAGCTCCACGACAGGACCGTGGAGTGGCGGCGCTTCACAGCGAAGGACACGTGGAGGGGTTCAGCTCCACGACAGGACCGTGGAGTGGCGGCGCTTCACAGCGACGGGCACGTGGAGGGGTACAGCTCCACGACAGGACCGTGGAGTGGCGGCGCTCCACAGCAACGGGCATGTGGAGGGGTACAGCTCCACGACAGGACCGTGGAGTGGCGGCGCTTCACAGCGAAGGACACGTGGAGGGGTTCGGCTCCACGATAGAAGCGTGGATTGGCGGCGCTTCACAACGAAGAACACGTGGAAGGGTAAGGCTCCACGACAGGCACGTCATCATCCCCTGGAGACGCCGCCAAGAGAACGACGACCCATGGGAAGCTCCACGACGCTCCACAACACGGCAGCGCACCCACCACCGCAGATTAGCCGTCTTTGCCGTGCATTACGATCAGTTCTCACGAGCGCCACTCACGCGGCATCAAGAGGCAAGGAAGCAGCCGGCGAGGCCTGTGCTTGCCTACCAATCAGCGCTTGTAAGCCACGGATTGTCGCAGTCCCGCCACAAAATACGCACATCATGACATAATTAACTTTTTCCTCCCGTGATAAACGAAGAATGTACATGAAAAGACACCGCTAGATGGTACGCATAAGCGCATACACATCTGAAATCCACACTTTCAAAGAGTGTCGTGACTCAACACCCCCGACTCCCGGCCGCAGACGTCCTCCCTGCCACCCTCCTTCCCGTCGTGCCCGGCGCACCAGCCAGGCGCCGCCGCCGCTCCACCGCAGCACCTACCTCACGAGCGGCAGGCAGTACAGGTTCACGGGCGGTATGATGAGGCCCGTCTCCAGCACCAGCGGGCCGGGCGCCGCCGGCTGACACAGCGCCGCCAGCCCCTCCAGCTGGGCGGCGAACTCGGCGCGCTCTGCCGCGCTCAGCGCGCCGAACATGGCGTGCAGCAGGAAGGTGAGGTGGCGCACGGCCAGCGGCGTGTTGCCCATGCGTCGCGACGAGCCCACCAGCTCCTGCAGCAGCTGAGTTTGCAGCGCCGACCAGCCGGTCACGCGGTCTGCCGGACACAGGCGCGGCACGTCAGAGCGAGGCGGCCCGCGGTCGTCACGGGCGGGGCGGCTCGCGGCTGTCACGGGAGGGGCAGCTCGCGGCTGTCACGAGCGGGGCGGCTCGCGGCTGTCACGGGCGGGGCGGCCCGCGGTCGTCACGGGCGGGGCGGCTCGCGGCTGTCACGGGCGGGGCGGCTCGCGGCTGTCACGGGCGGGGCGGCTCGTGGCTGTCACGGGAGGGGGCGGCTCGCGGCTGTCACGGGCGGGGCGGCTCGCGGCTGTCACGGGCGGGGCGGCCCGCGGTCGTCACGGGCGAGGCGGCCCGCGGTCGTCACGGGCGGGGCGGCTCGCGGCTGTCACGGGCGGGGCGGCTCGCGGCTATCACGGGCGGGGCGGCTCGCGGCTGTCACGGGCGGGGCGGCCCGCGGCTGTCACGGGCGGGGCGGCTCGCGGCTGTCACGGGCGGGGCGGCCCGCGGCTGTCACGGGCGGGGCGGCCCGCGGCTGTCACGGGCGGGGCGGCTCGCGGCTGTCACAGGCGGGGCGGCCCGCGGCTGTCGCGGGCGGGGCGGCCCGCGGCTGTCACGGGCGGGGCGGCCCGCGGCTGTCACGGGCGGGGCGGCTCGCAGCTGTCACGGGCGGGGCGGCTCGCGGCTGTCACGAGCGGACTACAACACGCGCGTGATGGGACCCCGGGGACGACGCCTCACAGACAGTGGTCGGCTGTGATCGACGGCCGCGCCGGAGAGCGGTCGCAGACGGCGCCACAGTCACCAGCCAGCTGACACGTGTTGCCTCAAGCCATAGCCGCCAGTTCTCCTCCGGCCGCGGCTTGTGGGTGGAACACCCGCGACGAGGCGCACCCGCACATTTTGCAAAGCCAACACAGCGCAAACAAGCGGACTGGCACGCAACAGGGCGCTAATTACTTAGACGAACAAAAAAACAAAAAAAAAACAAAACACCGCGCCTCAGTCCCTCAGGTGCATCGTAGTCAAAACATGATAATGGAGAAAGCCCACGTCATGAATGAAACACATCGTCGATGCAGTAAGTCGAATGAACAACCACAATACAATTAGAAAGTTACCAACAATGCGACTTTGGCGCCAACTTTGCACAGGTGACCAAGCAGTGCTCACGGATGCGTGATAAGACAGTTCCTTAAAACAAAGGCCACGAATCGGGCGAATCTTAATGCTCAAAACGACTACTTTGTATTCACCAGGAAATATTTCACCGTGTGCCTTGTTGCAGTGTTGGCACAATTATTGAGGGTTTGTGCATGTCTACTGTTTTTGTGTTTTCATCCGATTCACCCACTGATGATGATGATGATAATTTGGGCTTTGGGGCGCACCGACTACGTTGGTCATATGGCGCCCAGATTCACCCACTGACCCAACGGCAACAGCATTGCGAAAATGTATCGGCCACGGCTCACATTAGCTTCAAATTTATTTCGTCTTGGGTTCATATGCATATTGAGCACGTACATCACCGTTGGCGGCGATGGCGCACTTATACAGGGGGTCCGCGCGATGGACGACGGGCGAGGAGCGCCGCATGGTGCGGTCGCCCCGCCGACCGGAATATTTCGCAGGGCGAACGGTATGGTTGGTTGGCCTGAGGCTAACGTTAGCAGAAATACACGCTAACGTTAGCAGAAATAACATAATTCGCAGCACGACGCAGTGGGGCTGAATCCTTTCACCTCTAAGACTTCCCTTTTCCGGCGATTATTTCTTATAAAAAGGACGACGGCGGGAACCGTGTGGCGCATACTTTGTTTAGGTCACATTGTGCTCTCATCTTATTTTGAAACGCTAGCATGACACAGTCGGTGCCGTTCCCACCACCCCAGTTACTTTTCCCAACAGTGACCGCGCGAGAGAATGCGGCGCGGCTGGCCGCGGCAATACCGCGCGTTGTAAACTAACACAGGCGCTATCAAACCTCGCTACCTAAAGCAGCAACGTGACTGCGAACGGGTCTCTCGTTAACCCAGCTGCCGACGGCGAGCCCACGGTATGCCACCGTCGCAGCGGGCCGGCCACCCCCGGCGGCGGCCAGCTCACCGGCGCGGAAGTGGGCCGGGTCCAGGCTGAGGCGGTAGCCGTCCATCGCCTGCAGCAGCAGCTGGTAACACTGGCTCCAGGAGGGCTGCGGGTTCTGCGACGCCACGAAGCGCATGGCGGCCACGCGCCGGAAGAAGGCCGCCTTCCGGTGGAAAGCCGCACTGCGCGTACAGCTCCGAGAGCGTGGTGAACCGCTGGATCTGCGGAGAGCGGGGCTGTGAGGCACTGGGCCTGTGGCGGCGATTTTGGAGACGCCGGACCGATGACGAGGCATTGTGGGACACCCGATCTGCCGAGGGAGCGTTGTGAGCGCTGGACCCGCAGAGGGTGGAGTTGTGAGACACTGGACCTGTGCAGGATACGGTTGAAGTACTGAATCGCACAAGTCACCGGGGTTGTGGCGTTGGTCAAGTCCAAACCCATGTATTGGAGCACAGAGGCTTCGACCAGTCGAGGGTCGGATTCTGCTCGCTCGAGTTGTGAGCCCCTGAAGAGATGGCCGGCACGCCCCCACTTCCATGTATAAGCATCTCGCGGTATGAGCCACAGCACCCACGAACCAGCAGAGCGCTACCCCCGACGGAAGGATCCACTTCCTGTTCGCCCAACGACACACACACACACACACACCAGCCGCTGCTTGGACACGATCAACACCACGGGTGAATCGCGACCAGACGGGGTGACCACTCCTCCCATCCACTAAGCACACAGAGAGGCACGCCCAGCCAGACCCACACGGCCTCGGCCGCGGCAGACGCCCCAAGGCTGGGCCTCTGTCTATGGCCCCTAATCACCAGGCTCCGACAGACAGGCGCCGGTGCCGAGCGGGTGCCAGCAGCATGATGGCGGGAGGGGAAACCCCGACGGCAGCAGCGTGGGCCGCCATGCGCACGGTGCGGAACACATTGCAAGGTTGCATTGCAATATGCGATGTTACACCCAACCCATGCAGTGCGACAATAAGCGGCCACTTGGAAGGTAGGAATGTCGATTGTTGGTATCATGGCACTTCCGCCTCGGGTTTCACTGCCGGTTGTTCCTCCCTCCAGCCAAGGTTACCCAATTAACATCGAGCAGGACGATGATCAACCCAAAGTCCAGGCGCCTTACGCTTGGCAAATCGGTCAGACGGGTCAGGTTCGGGCTCAAAGGACAACGGACTAGCGGCCAACAAAACTGTGCATATTCTGCTATATCAGCATGTATGAGCGCAAATTGTCAGCACCAAGTTATATCTATATTCTGCACGTCCAACTGGATGACTTTCGGACCGCTGTGCCTCGCTGTTTATACACCCGGCAGACAAAGGCATAGGTGATCCACAGCAACCAAAAAGGCAACTCACGCACGCAAGGGAAATGATGAACTAAAACGAGCATACATGCCAATAGGTGTCGCGCGCACAAGACGGGTCTCGGCGCTGCACAGATCAACGGTCGACGCACGCCGGATTCAGAACTCAGCCAGGGGCGCGAACTGCCTGCGCGCGCGCCCGCGTTCGGGCGAGACCAGCGGCGCGCTGGACATACCTTCTCCTCGTCCGACAGCTGCAGGTTGATGAAGACCACGTTCTGCAGGAACTCGGCCGCCATCAGGTAGCGCGCCTGCTCGATCAGCACGTGCACCGCCTTCAGGCTGCACTCGGTCTCGATCACTCCCGCGTGCCGGTACTGTCGGCGGCGAGGCAGAGCACGGGTTCAGCAGCACCGTCAGCCACTGACCGCTCGGTCAGGCAACACAACGGCGATCCAGCATCGAAACTGGACGGGGGGAAGGGGGCTGAACAAACAAAAATCCCTAAAGCCAAGCTTTAGGGATTTTTGTTCAGCGCTCGCAGGGCCAGGGGACGCAGGACTGAACAAAGAGCCAACCGCTCTGCAGCCACACTGGACGCGAGAGCATGAGATGCTATGGCGTTACTATGGTCCCGGTTCGTCCGGCCGGACTTCCGCAGCGTCAGCAATGCACCGCACACGGCGTCAGAGGCGACGTCAGCGTTCCGTCACTGATCTGCCTGCCGGGCACGCCGGCTGGGGCGGCGGGACAGCGGCCGGACGGCGCTGACCTTGCTGTAGTGGACGACCGACTCCCGGTACTTGTCCACGATCTCGGAGGGCGTCAGGCAGCCGCGGGAGGCCTCCAGCATCTCGGCCGGCTCGATGCCGTGCGGCAGGGAGTTGCTGGAGCCTGTAGCCGGCCGTCTGCGGGACCCGGACAGCGGGCGGGTCACACATAAGCGATGTGAGCCCTCAAAGCGCGTCAAACGACCGCAGCCGTGCCGATCTCACGCACCGGTCAGCGGCGGTTTCTACAGCCGCCCGAACACCACAATGACAAAGAGGCCGATGGCGATAAATTGAGCACAGCAGCTGAAAGCGACATCGCCCACAGTGGCTGCAGAGGCCGACGGCGCGGGCGCGCCAGCTCCCAGCGACATCTCTCGGACAGCTTTCGACCCACGGGCGCACGGTCGGGCGGACCCACCAATCTGGGGTGCGAACAAAGTGCTCAAGTGGCCAAGGTCAGAGCACCATGTGGCTAAATTCGCTGGCGTGCGCTTGTGCGCTTCCAACACATTCGGAGACGTAGCGTGAAGATGACCTGAAGCGTCACGAACAGCTGAGCGAGTCAGAACGATGTCGAGCCACACTTCTGCCAGCAAGCCCACCAATCGCAGCACCACATAACTGGTTTACGGACGCCAGCCAGCCAACAGACCTTGCGCCACATTCAAGCGCCGCAAATCCTGGGAACTCAAGCGCAATAAGGCACGACAAACGCACGTCCCGACACCAGGATTGTGTCTGTTATTGCGGCGCACAGCCCTCCTGCCCCAGTCACATCCAATGCGTGCAGCCCATGCTTGGCTTGATGGCTCCCAGGCTCCATGATGCGACACGCCACAGCCAGAACCGACAGCCATCAACGCTGCACTGTCAGGACAACCGAACACGACTTCTGGACGATAGCGAGCTCGCAACAAGCTGACGTATGGCTTTCTTCGGTGCGGGAATACGTGTGATGAATGTATGGGATTTTGCCCCGCACTGTGAGACAAGTTGAACGATGCCTCTCAACGACGCTTTAGCACACGGGGAAAAGCTGAGCTGAACCTTCTTCCATGCTGAGCGGCCAACAGACCAACTGCGTCGGCTGTGTGCGTCAGCGGCGGACACTGACAGGTCAACTGCGCCAGCTGTGTACGCCAGTGGCGAACACTGGCAAAACCAACTACGTCGGATGTGTGCGTCAGCGGCGGACACTGACACGCCAACCGTGTCGGCTGTGTGCGCCAGCGGCCAACTGCGTCGGCTGTGTGCGCCAGCGGCGGACACTGACACGCCAACCGTGTCGGCTGTGTGCGCCAGCGGCCAACTGCGTCGGCTGTGTGCGTCAGCGGCGGACACTGACACACCAACTGCGTCAGCTGTGTGCGCCCGTGGCGAACACTGGCAAAACCAACTACGTCGGCTGTGTGCGCCAGCGGCGGACACTGACACGCCAACTGTGTCGGTCGGCTGTGTGCGCCAGCGGCCAACTGCGTCGGCTGTGCGCGCCAGCGGCAGACACTGACACGCCAACCGTGTCGGCTGAGTGCGCCAGCGGCGGACACTGACAAACCAACCGTGTCGGCAGTGTGCGCCAGCGGCGGACACTGACAAACGAACTGCATCGGGCAGCAGCTGCGTTACGCGGTCAGAATCACACCCAAATTCATGATTGGCACGGGGTACGGCGGTGGGGGGGGGGGGGGGGGGGGGCAACGAGCCAACCACGACCAGCTGTGCCGCACCGATGCTACGAACATGACGCCATGGCCGGCCTTTGGCGCGGCGCCAGGGCCGTTGCCGGGCTGCAGGGCACAGCTGGCCACGGCTGGCGCACGTGCACAGCAGCACGGCACACCTCGGTCTCCGCCGCCGACCTCTCTCCCCTCTTCGCACAGCCCATCACGTGTTCTCGAGCACTGGACAGCTGAATGAACGGACGAGATTGTACGACACCAGGGCTGGATAATAACATGCTACGCGCCCCATGAGACGAGCGGATATCGTCAGCCATTGTGTGGCCGGCTGGACGGCGGCGCTGCCACTGACCCTGTCCGGCAGACGCGGCCCTGGTTGAGCGAGGCGTTGCGCTGGACCTGGGTCCGCCGCAGGTCCGGATACAGCACCGCCGCCGACGCTGCGCACATGCCCTCGAAGCAGCCTGCGAAAGGGGCGCAGCGCACGGTCACAAATCGAGCTCAGTGGGGGCGCTTCTCGGGGAAACAGCGAAACTCAGCGCAGAAACATAGGCGATACAGTGAACTCCGTGGGTAATACAGCCGGGGGTCACACTGGGGCTCAGCAGTTGACTGCTCTGACACTCTGAGAAAGGCTCAGCACAGGGACATGGCGGGACTTAGAGGGAGTCACAGCCCACTCGATGCTCTGAGGGGCCCGCGCAGTGACACAACAGGACTCAGAGGGAGCCAAAGTCCGCTCTGACGCCCTGAGACAGGCTCAGCACAGGGACACGGCAGGACTCAGGGCCACCACAGCCCGCTCTGACGCTCTGAGAAAGGCTCAGCACAGGGACACGGCAGGACTCAGGGCCACCACAGCCCGCTCTGACGCTCCGAGAGCGGTTCAGCACAGGGACGCGGCAGAAGACACCCAGCCATTCGTATTCCTCCTGGGGGCACGCCGCACTGTTAATCACGCATCGCCCGAGGGAGACGTCAGGCCACGTCGGACCCAATTAGACGCCGCCACCGCTCCGGCATTCCACACCGGATCACATCCGGTTATCTCACGGTCGACTCGTGCCAATTTCTCGGCACAAATTACATTACTTTAATCGCTGATGGGGCCCATCACTCCTCACGCACCAGGCGTTCCATGGTCCGACGCTATCAGGCTGGCGTCCGCAAGCTGGCCTTGAAGGCGTATCTGGACCACCTGAAGCACACGTGGCGCTCGATTTGATCAGCAGCGGGCCGAGATTGACTCTGGCCGCCCGGAAGATCCAAAGATCCATTTGTCCGCGCTTTCAGTGACCGCGATCTTAGCTTCCAACTGACGCCACACCGCAGCTTTGTTCACAAGGCCCGATTAGCCAGACACCCATTTCCCCAGACCCAGGAGACGGTGAATACCGCAACAAAAAAGCGTACAAAGAAGCGCATCATATGTTCGGGAAACTGATACACGCCGCAGCGAACAAATCACTAATGAACACGGCCGGTCAATGAGGTCCTCTTATTGATGCCAGGCGCCTTAGCATCCCTGGCGGCAGTCCGGAGCCGTCTCAAAGACCAACCAAGGCGCCCGCCTTCACCAGACGACGATCGTTCGAAACGGGCGCGTCACATGCCGCACTTGGCCCACAGGCACGTCTCAGGCTGCGACCGCGACCGGGCGTCCAGCCGTCCCCCTGGGGTTCAGTCTGCACGAGAGGCGCGCGCTGGGACCGCACCGCTCCACGGTGCGCGCTGGGACCGCACCGCTCCACGTCCTCCGCCTGGGGAGGGCGGAGCTGAGCAGGCCAGCTCAGAGCCAGCCCCCGGACACCGCCGCTGCCAGGTCAGAGCCGGACTGGCCAGCTCCCGCGTCACGCAAGGCTCGCCGAGTTTGGCCCAGTGATTGGCCCACCTTCTCTCCGCCGTTGGTCACGCCACCCGACCGCAAGTAACTCCAACCAAGAGTGCCGATACAGAGACGATCCCTGCATTTTTAGCCATAGCCTGCGCTACCGGCCGCCGTCGCAGACTCCTCGGACGGCACAGCCCGACCGCCACAGCCCTGGCCCCGGGCATGGCTGGCGCCGTGACGTGATAATGACCCGCCCACCAGGGCCGGCCGCGGACGGCCATCCCCGGCGGACGACGGGCGGCTCCCATTCTCCCCGCCCGCCGCTCGCCCAGTTCGTCTCGGTCGCGCCGCAGACGCGGAGCCGAGCGCGCATGCCACGCGTCCGAGAAGCCTGCCGCGCGCGAGTGCGTGGAACTGGAGCAGAGAACTGGGAAGTGCGGCCATCAAGTGACGCTTGGCACTTCGTCGTGGAAAGCAAACCTGATCGAGGGTGACGCCTTCCACCGAGCCTCAAGCCATGAGCACCGGTCGAAGCAGACACCAAAACAACGCGGTGCAAACATAAGCGACCAGCTTTAAACCGCATCACCTCAGGCATGAACACGGGCGGGCGGGGGCGTCTTGCGCTGACACAATCCGGGGCAGCCCAGCTTAACTGACGCCTCAGCGGCCAGTTGTCCGCACCACAGCCGCGGCAGAGGCCCACTGACGCTGTGGCGGCGCTGAGTAGATGTGATAAACACAGCGTAGCCACGGCGCGCAGATAACCAAGCGCCAGCCCAGAGGCCGTCGGTGGGAGCTGCTTCGGTTCCTCGGAATGACCCAGCAGCCACAGCCGCACGGCGACCGCGCTGGTCTGCGCTAGTGGCTACAGGGAGGAGGGGGGGCTTCAGGGCGCGCCTGCGACGATGGTCATTCTGCGACGGAGAGGAGTGATCCCGGTCCGGAGTGGTCACATGATAAAAGTGTGCTCCGGCTCGGAGCTGTCACACGGAGTGCGACTTAGCTCCACATGGCCACGAGCTGGAAAAGATCGACCTCCGTCCGCTAATGTGGTCACGAGGTGGAGTGGATGGGAACCTCCGTCCGGTGACGTCACCAAAAGGTGCGAACCCGTGTTCCAGAATTCATTCAACATGGATGGTTCGTACGCCATTTGGAAGGTTTCAAGCCCTCATGGTAGCCGGAAAACGACAGGCCGAGTAGCAGCAGAGCCCTATCCCAACGCAAGGCGGCAGGCGGCAGACGCCAGCGAAGTCATGGCAGGACACGGCAGAATAACGCTGGAAATATGGCAGCGCTGTGCCGGCAGCAGACCGAACCAGAGCTCGAAACAGAATGAGGACGGAAACCAGCCGGGCTAACCAGCTGACATCAGCTGCCATAAGGCGTGAGTTACAGCTCCATCTGGCAGAAAGTGTCACAGCCCCGACTGTTTTCGACACACAGAGAACGCAAGGTCAGTATATGGTAGACGGACGCGGTCGCCAGCATAGACCATCACCAACTTCCTAAGTAACAACAATCACCTCAGTCAACTTTGTTGACAGAGCTGATTTCTCCAAATTTTCCGACACAGCGCGAGACTAATGACAACAATACGCACACTTGATCACACGCTGACACATCACAACAAACGGCGCCTTCAAAAGACTAATCACGACAATGGGTCCATTCTCCCCGCGAATCACAACGCTGAAGCGGAGCCAGTCGCAATACATCGACAGCAGGCCAACTAAGGGGGCTTTGTGCGAACTACCAACGATGAAGCAATTAGGGAAAGATGAGCACGAAACTAGGCGGAGTGCTGGGGTAAGCACAACTGCGCTCCGACAACTGAACGACGGACACGCAGACAACAGCCAGGGATGGCACGGCAGCAACGACATGAAACAACACCTACTTGGGCTCAATTCACGGATACAAGCGGGATACAAGGATACCAATACGCAATTCACGGATACAAGTCACAAGAAACATAGTGACTGGGCACCGCTAAAAACCGGCACCAACACATCAACACCAACGGTAGATGTCACAAAAACGAAAAGGCCGCGCGCAGAAATGAAAAGATCGGCAATTCGCAGACCATCCATCTGCACAACACAACAGACACTGGGGCATCCATACTGGTGCACACTTGTGCGGGTACGCACAAGAACACGTATGCACACTTAACAGTAACGTGGTAACACTGAGCATCATAATGATGCACAGACATGATGCGAACACGACATATGCAAGTATACAGGAAGAACACCCCAGACAACTCGAAAATCCGGGAAATTACGTTGTGAGCACGGAGACAAAAAACAAAACGCAAAGGAGGCAAGGGAAGGTCAACACAAGAGCACAAAGAGGACTACAAAACGCAGGGCACACAGATGCCAAAGGCGGGGGAACGCACAAAGTATACCCATGCTGCCGCACGGCGCCACACGAGAGCCAACACGGACAGACACACCCAGAGAAGGTCACGATCAGAGAAGGTCACGATCAGAGAAGGTCACGGCCAGGTCAGGTCACGTGCTAGCCAGCGTTGCGAGCCTCACCTGCCAGCCACAGCCAGTCGTTACTCTGGCGGAGCAGATCACTGGCGGCCGTGTAGTAGCTCATCGCCTCGCCGGGCAGGCCGGTCTGCAGCGACAGGTCAGCCAGGTGCTTCTTCGCGCGGCCCATGCACCGCTTCTTATTGCTGCGGCTCTCCATGTCCAGCCCCACGAAGTCCTTGCGCTCGAACGGCGCGCACAGCAGCGCCATCTTGTCGAGCCGCTCGGCACTCTTGTCGACACGCTTCGCCTCCAGCACCCAGAACAGCGACGCCACGAACTCCTGCAGCTGCGCGTCCAAGTCGTCACACTGCTCGACGCTGCTGTAGCACAGCGTGCGCGCGCGGAACGAGCCGGGCGGCCGCAGCGCGTCCGGCGCCGTATTGCGCGCGTTGCGCTCGCGCGCCGTCGGCGGCGCCACCGGCGCGTTCTCCTTGTTCTCGTCGCCGTTGACGGCGGGCGCGGTGGCAGGCAGGATGCAGGCGCCGGCTCGCGCCGCCCGGCCGGCGCGCTCGTCCGGCTCGTCCGACTCGCTGTCGCCGCCGGCCGGCTCGCTGCCCTCGCTGTTGGCCTCGCTGAGCGAGCCGGCCGGCTCGCTGTGGTCGTAGACGCCGCTGTCGCGGTCCAGGCTGCCGGAGCTGACCTTTTTGGCGGCGCCGGCGGCGGCGGCGGCTCGCTCGCCGTCGCTGGAGGCCGGTGAGGCGGGCGCTGCCGCAGCCGCCGCCGGCACGCCCAGCACCACGCACCGCGAGTCGTACAGCGTCGAGGCGTACCGGCTGCGCAGTGACTCGTGCTGCTTGCACACGTCGTTCAGCTCCACCTGGTTGGTCACGTGACCTGCCGGGCGGAGGCAGCGGGTCAGGGGCGGCCGATCACGTGCTGCCGTGTCGACCCAACGCGGTAGAGTCGTGTTCCGTTGTGATGTGGGAGCGGTTGCAGCCAACAATGCAGTGTTATTCGACATTGCACTGTCTAGGATAGCATCGAATCCGACATTATACTAACAACCCCGCCGGCACTGCAATGTAAACACTAGCACGATTCGGCAACCTACCTTTGCGGTGCATAACTGACCAAGATACGGAGAACGTGCCACTGCTAGAAAGAATGTCGAACCATTTCAAAAGAATGGACTACGAGAGTGTTCTATTCCTGTGCTATTAAATTTCTTGAAGCCGTTCGAATCGTGCTTAATCTAATTGGATCATACGAAAACGCACTGCCCACCACCAATCCCTTCAGTACACATACAGAAACGCATTTTCGTAAATTATAATCAGCAAACCAGAATATGTTGCAGCTGTGATGACCAATACCAAAGCTGCCTCCAAGCTGTGCAGAAACAGTCACTACAATCATACAGCGTGGCAACAGGGACAGCTCCTGAAGCGTCAATGGCCCGTAGTCAATCATAGTCAACTCAATCATATCATGACACGACTCAGACAGTTTCAGACACATCTGGCTTTACCAATCCGAGCAGCAAGGTTCCAGAATACACGCGGAAACACGTCGTATTCAGGTCACCTTAACGTGACATTCCCTGTCCACATGTTCGAGCTTTATGTGTCCGCGTGCATCACTAGAGAAAAACGTGCCCGAATGGAAGTATGAAACCTGTTTTCCAGCATGCATCCCTGGAGTTAAAAATGTATAACTAAAAGCGCGGTTATCACTGCGTTTTTCCCGGGTCTGTGGATTGAACTCTATGTTCATCGCTGTTAAAAACGTGTATTGAATCAACGTCTGCTTAAATTACGTTCCGCAGTCTGGCTTTGTCATCTTTGGCCCCACTGGTCCAAGATTGTTATCTTTGTATGTTCTTTGATTTGTATGCCGGCGAGTGTAAGGTGGGTTTTACAAAAGCACAGGAAAAACTATTCTTCCTGCTCTGAATCGTCCACCACTCTACATGACACACCGGCCAGCCATCAAGAAGACGTTAAAAAAACACTTTGTACCACCACCAGCAGACTCTCCCTCTCCCTCCCCTCTCAACCAAACTGTTAAACTGGCAAACGACATGGTAGACTTTTTAAGCCGTTTTCCATCGAAGAAAGCAGCTGTAAGACGTTAAACTGGTAAACAACATGGTAGACTTTTTAAGCCGTTTTCCATCGAAGAAAGCAGCCGTAAGCCATCTCTGTGGCACCGAATCCTTCACAACACCGCCGGCTGTAGCTTGATGCGCTGCAGGCTGACGCCTTCATGGACGCGAGCGACAAATGTTCGTCGCAATGTTTCAGTGCGGTTATGTCAGGCATTTCTTGAGGTGGAAGCCGCGGGGCCGGCGATGGCTGTGGACGTCAAGCAATTTTTTACCAAGCGTATAGCATAGTGCGCACACATCACAGCAAACACCCTCGGGTGGTTGAAAAGGCCACCATCACCCGGCGGTGCTGGTTTCATCACAGCCGACATGGGCGTGTGCCCCTATGCCCCTATCGCATATATTAATTGCATGTTCGTGAATAATTACGCGTGTGAAAAAATTTTAAGTTAAAAAATTGAGGCTGACCGCAATGACAATGGCCAATGACCACAATCAAGCCACAATGATTGAAGCCAAACAGTGTTTCGTGCTCCATGCGATTCCGCGCCCCTGCAACACGCCTCACCGTTTCGCGACAAATTATGCGGCTGCGCCCTTTCACTGCCAGATAATCAGTGTGTGGCTAGCTGCAGCTGCGTTGTCAGACCCTTTGCCACCAGCCACCTCCGGATGACGGCCACGGCTCAGCACAGGCGGCACCCGAAGCCCGAAGCCGCGGCCGCCGTTCAGCCACGTGCCAAATACGTGCTGCCGGACGGCGACGGCGGCAGCTGCGGCTTTCATCATACCTTACCAAAGATCTGGCGAAAACCAATTTTGTAACGTTTTTGATATTGAAATGGCTCACAGAAACGATGAAATTATTTCTGAAACCCACATAGGAGGTAAAATGATTATCAATGAGGCGAAAAGTGGCTTGCATATGTGCAGATGTTCATGTGCGTTACATGCTGGTCATGCCCTCCCTGTCTGACGCGCGTCGGCGATCAGCGGCTAAGCAAGATATCCTCTGTTGGACTCCAAAGTGGACGTGCAGACGGGCTCAGATTCCGCCTACAAAACAACCTTCAACCATCACCGTTAGGTTGCGAATTAACAAGAACCAGGCGCTCGGCTTCACCGGGGGCGCTCTGCTCGGCTCACATTTCGCTTGCAACAACTCAAACCAAACAGGCGAAACCTTGCAACTGATCAGCTTATCACATGCAACTGCATATAGAAGCGGTCTGTCGTCAAGGAGCTCCTCGCCAGCCAGCATAGCAAACGGCAGTATTTCCACACGGTGACGTGATGCATCACATCGCCCGCCGTTGCACCGCCCCACACATCGCACCGCGTGCAGTGGTCTGTCTCGAATTATGCCTGCGGATTATGCGCTCCCAGCCTTGCAGCCGGTGAGCTTTGACTAATGCCAGATAAATGGTTCAGGTTGTACGCTAGAGCTGCTCTCGGTTCAGACCTACGGCTGTGCTTGATCAATCACAAGCCGCCCGCAGAGTGACGTCACCATCAATCACAAACCGCCCGCAGAGTGACGTCACCATCAATCGCATGCCACCCGCAGAGTGACGTCACCACAGTCTTCTCTAACATTGGTCCGGTCATTTGTGTCACAGGTTTGCGTGAACACAAATATTTTCAGCTGATATGAACAGGGGCGCGTGATATATAAACGCGTTGCAGGAAATATTTCGCCGTCAATCGCGATAAGGAAATGACAAAACATAAGTGAAATCGTTCGCCGGATGTGGTCATGCATTCGTTGGTGACAAAAAGCACTCGAAATATCAGAATCTTGCGAACAATTCTGTCCGTGGCGATTGATACCGCGATACCGCGTAGGACGTTATACCCAACCAATAACCGAACGGCAGTGGCCGTTGGCGGCCAATGGTGCTGCCGTGCTTGATCATATGGTCGGTATCAGCAGTCTGGCGTGGAATCGGTCCAACGTGCTAATCGCATTAAGGTCCCGAACTGGAACATTTTAGGCCTTGACAAGGCTGTGGTTGTAATGGGACAGCAGTGCTGGGCCATGTGGTGTGTCTGCCAGCGGCCACTGACTCCCCGCTGTTACACCCATGGCCGCTGTGGCAAGGCTGTGGCCCATGTGCTTGAATAGGGCAGCCATCGCCCTACCACGATCCCGTCATCTCAATTCAACACTTCTCGCAACGGTGAAACATTCCTTAAACATTTGGTAGAAGACAAAGCTCCGCCGAAGTCGTCTGAACCCTTTCAGAAGCAGCGCATTATTGACCGTTGGCAGATGCCTCCCCAGTTGGCCTGTGTTTCACTTCCTTTCGCCAAGGTTTGCTGTTTCATGAGCTTAAGCACCGATCGAGACGCCAAAAATGAGCCATTTTACAACATTCTAAAACCCTCGCCGTCCATGCTGCTCAAATATGACCACATCCAAACCTGCCGTGTTTCGTCAGTGTGCACCAGCGGTGACGCGGAAGCCGTGCATGTTGACAAAACTGGCTCCAGGCGCCGCGTTTGGCTCCGCGCCTGCCGCCAGCTGGCCGTGCACCAGAGCTGTCGTACGCCGGTGACGCCGGGCGACGTGGCCGAGAGCTGGGGCGCCGACTTGACAAGAACTTGGAGCAAAACAGTTGTGCAATATGACCTGTTAGTGACGTGGGAGCTACCTGAACTACGTCGCAGGAACTCTGCAGCTTTTATTACTGAATATCACAAGTACAGTTTAAAACATGAATTCTCCGCAAGTGTGACAGAAATCAGCATGTCTCACGATCTGTAGTGGCCCGCGGCGAACATCGGCTGCGACTGGACCAACCAACAGGCAGGGTCGACCCAAGCCGACCCACCTGTGTCGCCCACCCAGCATTTCACGCGCCCTGCTGGGGAACAGAGCGACGCGATCGGTAGGCCGACGCTTTGGGACGTACCCGGCATGGAGCCAGCGGGACAGACATGTCACAGACCTCTCCATACCGCCGTCTATGCACATGCGGACCGCGGAGGAGAGTGCTGGAGAGGTCGATGTATATGATGTTCACTTTTAAGTTGCATCGCATCGGTGAGCGCTCCCTAAGATTCCCTCCAGCGTGGTGTTTTCAGTTGCATCGCATCGGTGAGCGCTCCCTAAGATTCACTCCAGCGTGGTGTTTTAAGTTGCATCGCATCGGTGAGCGCTCCCTAAGATTCACTCCAGCGTGGTGTTTTCAGTCCGAGAAGAAGACGCGATCCGGCATCACTCGCAAACAATCACAGCTCAGAAGACGTCGGGCGCCGAATTCCACATGGCGCCTGTAGACCCCGCGTGGTGTGAACATGGTTCGTGACGTCACTGCAAAACTGTGGTATTTAGAGCTGCGGTATTTTGCCTTGGAACTGCTCCCCATGACCCGTGTTATGCAACACTGCTCATTCTACAGCCGGCTGAATGCCCTACTGCTCCACTGTACGGAGGCCCCACCCAGCATGCGATACATACACACATCATCATGTGTATAAACCGAAAAAAGTCATGAGCACCATCAAATCCGCTAAGTCAGTACACGGAAATTGATGTTGAAAGTGATCTGAAATAGTATCACCAGGCTCACGAATCATGTAGCGAACGAAAGCCGTGTCCCACCTTGCTCCCACGTCTTCATTGGTGCATACCGACGGCTCAAGACCGCCGAAATAAACATTTTTTCTAGACTTTCTGTAGATTGGGGCGAAAAAATCGTGCTCCATTTCCCCATGACATGATGCTGGATCCGCCGTCTCACGTTCAGACAGCGACCTCTGACCTTAGCGACCCCAGCAATCATTACAGGTTTTATTCTTTGCCACTTGGTGGCCATCACGCCAATTACTTCATGTCGCCATCACAATTCCAGCAATGTTGTTGCAATAAAAACAAACCAATGCATTATTTTTGTAACAGTAGCGCATTATTGTGTGGGATGAAGTGGCGCAAAATATACTTCAGTGGGTCTATGATGGTCCTGACGTCAATGGTCTCCACCAGCTCGTGGTAACTGGCCCGGGGCACAACCAGCTGGTAGAACACATGTCTACTGGCTGCAACCGGGTGCCGCGGGCTGGCAATGCAACGTGGCGTCCCCCTACCCCTACCCCTTCACACCCTGCTTAAAACTCAGCGAGCCAACTGATCCTCTTCCACAGATCCTTTCACCAGAACTGCATGCCACGCATTTACTTCACTTGACGGTCACTAACATTTCAGACATCCCACCTTTCAGCCTTTTTTCAATGTTCAGTGCACTTTGATAACACCAACGATGCTCGACATGTAATTTGGTTATTTTGCCATTCCACTGTTTTCTATCGGATTGCCACGCGTTCTCCAGTACTGAAAATCATGCCAATTTCTCTCCGACTTTGCCGCCAGAAGTGTCTGCCAGCCGGTTATAACCGGCACGAAACCGCCCGGACGAATCCATCTCCGCCGGCCACTGCCAACTCCCCTGCTAAGCCGGCCGACAGCGGGCCTGGCCCACCAATCGTGCTGGCGGGCGGTGACCTGGTCTCGGCGTGTTCTCCGGGCGGTTCTCACGTTAGCATCTCACGTGAGATCAGGGCCGCGTGATTTATTCGGCGTTGGCAGCCACAAACCCTCAAACGGCGGTCAGCGGGTTCCAGAAGGCGGGCTTCGTGGGAAAATGGGGCTCATTGTCGGCTTTCTGGAGAACAGAGAACGACCTAGTTGATGATAATTTAGAGAGCTCTTAATAAGGATGTCGGGCACGCACCGCAGGTGCGCAGCTCAGTCCTGGCGTATCGATGCTGTGGTGGAAGGTGCGCGTCTGGCAAATAGAAGCACGGGGTCCTATTCCCGCTGTGACCGCCCTTTCTGGCAGGAGAGAGGCAGGCGGTGCCATGTAGATGAGAGCGCCGAAAGCACCAATGGCACTCACAAGCCCAACCCTAAAAAAGCAGTGACGAAAACCGCCTAGAGTAATCGCACACATCCACGGGTATCCTCGAAGCGACTCCCAATTTTTTACCAATCCGCCCTGTCCAGATCTTCGCAAGTCGGGCCACACGAACCACATCGTGTTCGTACCGAAGTCCTCCCCTACGTGTGCGTTTACCCCACGACCTCCGTCAGCGCACGCCTGCACCGACCCATCGCACGGCGCGTGCAGCACGTACCGAGCGTGATGAGGCCGAGCACGCGCCGGTGGCTCTGGAACTCGCCCCAGTCGTTGTTCTCGGCCGGGTAGCTGCGCCGGTAGCGCAGCCAGACGGCGCGGCGGCCCCCCTGCGAGTCCCGCGCCGTCACGTGCTGCAGCCGGCTGATCCGCTCGTACAGCTTGGCGAACGCGCGCGGCTTCAGCTGCTGACCTGTGGCACGAGAGACAGACGGCGCTTCAGATGGACGGCGAACACACGTGGGAGACTGCGGAGGCGGCGGCGGACGCGTGAGGTCACGCACAGATAGGTCAGAGGTCATCTGTCGATGTGTAAGGCACAGGGGCTTGCTTCCTGTGTGTGCGGCACTTGTGCTCCCACGCACAAGAAATTGGCCCGCTTCCTGTCAAGTATCAGGCTATAAGGCATTTATTCAACAATTGCTATAATATATAGTCGTATCAGTGGACGAACACTGGCGGTCGGGTGTAAATAATAGCAGTCTTATTTACTGTATAAATAGTCGCATCGGTGGACGAACACTGGGGGTCGGGTGTAAATAATGGCAGTCAACATAGGCTAGAATTCCAGTATATTTGCGACCTCACTATCAGTATCAACTTATCAGCCGGCAAAGGGAAGCTGAAAAAACAGCGCCGGCACCCGCCGTCCGGCGTCGGCAAGCAACAGTAACACACCTGACAGCCAGCTGTACCCCACACCTGCCACACCGCGGCGTGCCCTGGACCATCAACTACTAGTGCGTGGCGCATGTGCGCCCTGACCATATCCTGTCCGGCGCAGCCACCCGGGAGCGGCCTTCGTTGTGGCTAGACTGCCAGGAGCCATACCATCGCGCCATCTCGCTGACGCGGTGAAGATGCAGGTCAAAACACTCTGCCACCGGTTACGGGCGTCAGTGAAGATCACCGACTGATCACCGACTCGAGCGGGCGCCGGGTGCGGGTGTCGAAGGTAGCGGTCTCTTCTCAACTGTAACCGCCTTCGCGGCGGCGTTCACTTTCGTATTACCCGTTGCCCCAATGGCCTAGGAATCCACCCAAACGCGACCAGTGAGTTCGCACTGCACGACCGCTCCAGTGCCTCCAGAATCAATCACCGTCTCGGCCTCGATCAGGAATGGCCCGGGTTGCATTTTTGCCTCGGGAATTTAAACTACACGCTCCTAAAGATCGGGGCTTTGCACAGCGCGTCGCCTACAGTGTACATTTCACACACAGCCCGGTGTATAACGAAGCATCATCAACGCCACCTGCATGCCCAATTCATATTTCGTTTACCACGGTTCTCAAATCAAGGAACATGGAGACCGAGGCACCACGCACTAACGCAGTATTACTAACGCCACCAGTATGCTCAATTTACATTTTGGTAACTTAAGTTTTCAAATCAAGGGACGTGGCGTCTGAAAAAAAACAAGCACAAAGCCTGCGATGCCGAACAGAGTGCCTGCTAGGTAACAGGACAACAGCTTTGCCGGCGAGACCTTGACGCACGCTTATCCCCAGCCGGCACCTGTCAGAACGAGCCGCCACCGGACCGGCGCCGCTCTCGCCACGCTAATCGCATGCCCGCCCATGTCCGCCCAATTAGCAACGCCCATCTGCATAGCGAGAGGTGGCGAAACCGGTGTCGCGACTCGCACGGCCACGTGACGCGCTGCGGACGAGCTCGCCGGGAGGGGGGGGGGGGGTTGCAGGTTCGCTACGGCTGGAAACGCCAACTCCGCCGCCGGGCCCCCAGCTTCCCCACTTGTCCCACTTCCCCCAGCGCGGGGGAAGCGGGACACGAGTCGAGGGTGGCAAGCCCGGCGCGCTTTGGACAGTGAATTCCTTGCATTGCTGTGAAACGCAATTCACCGCTGTGGTCGCAAACTCGACAATCCACACGGCCGATAACGCATTTCCTACTCACAGACTTGAGCATCGCGGCCTAGCGCAGGCCACGACTCTCAGCTCCCTCCAACAGACGAGGGCAGGCGCCTGCCGTCCGTGGCCGCGGCCCGGCCGCCAGCCGCCACCGGCGCGTCCCGGCGCGCCAGCCGGCCTTGGAGCCGTCACCCGAGCCGGGCGCGGCCGCCGGCGGGGCAGGTGCCGGCGCTCCTCGCATACCGCCACGCCGCCGCCGGGGCGGCGGGGCCCGACCGCCGCGGCGCCGCGCCGATGCCACTGCCGGCGCGCAGGCCGCGCGCGGAGGACACCGGGCGCCATCTGATGAAGCGTAAGCCGGAGGGCGCTCAGCCGGGTTCGCGGCGGACGCGAGCTCGGCGCCGGACACGCTCGTCGAAGGCGGCGCGCGCTGTTCTGTATGCGCACAAGCTGTTACCATATTCAGTGGAGATAACACGGGCCGTGCCCTCGCCACGACGATCATAAATTCCACGCCGCGAGCACCACACTCATTCCAGGCCATTTGCCGTCATTCTGCGCGTCTGGAGAGGCCGGGCCGGCAATGGCATCAGGGTCGGGAGACAGTGTAATCATATGTCATGAGGCGTCGGCCAGCGAGGCTGCGGGGCTGCTCGCCGCCTCCGGGCGCCAGCACACTGGGCCGTGTCGAAACGGGCGCCCCGATGGCAAGGTCTGTTCTCATCCGTTTCAAAATCGGGCGGTGTTGCGAGCGCGCACACGGGCAAGCGGGTCGGTAACGGGAACGGGCAATTCGTCATCTGCTGCTTTCAAGGTGAGCTGGACGCGGCCGTTTCATCTGCAGCCAGTTGAACTGGCGGAGCTGGTTAATGGCTTAACAAACCATTCACCACTGTCACTGTATATTTTACAACCACAGCGGAATCGCAAACACAGACTTTACAAATGACGCCCGAAATCACCTGAGCGCCGACATGCGAGAGCACGTGCACAAAGCGTAGCGGACACGGGTGCAGCGTACCGCCAGCAACATTATCAATGCAAATAGCTTTCCTAATTACTCACAGATACAGAGTCCCCGTAATCAAACGGCGTGCCACCACCGGTGTCCAGCCGGCATGCAGCCCGCCGGCCGCCGCGACGGTACATCCTCTGACAGTGCCGCCGTGTCCGGGTCCGCCGGGCGACACGATACAATCGGCGCCGCCCCGCGTCGACAAACAAGGCGCACATAACAAAGGCCCGCAGCTCCGGCGCCACTACACGGCCGTAATGGAGCCGCGATCGATGAGGTCCGACCGGGCCACGAGCGAAGCCCGCCGCGCACGCGAGCGCGTTGGGCAACCGGGCTGCCTGTTGTAACAGCCGGCATCTCCTGCGATGATTCACCGCTCTCGCACTCCGATTTATTACCGGCCGGTCAATCACACCCGCCCCACACTCCCGCCGTCGTCGAAAGCACGGCGCCGGCGACAGCCGCTCATTATAAAACCATCGCCGCGAGCGTGACGCGGACACAGGCACCGGCCGCCGCCGTCCGCGCGCCGCGGCGGCCGCCGGATGAAAGCGTCGGCACGCGCGCGCGTGTACGCGGGGTCAGGGGTCAGGCGCGCCGTCGACAGCAGACGGCGACAAACGGGCCGCCGCCTGACCCCGGCCGCCGGGCTCGCGCGGGACTGTTTGTTCCCGCCGCCCGCGTCGCCGCCGGACGGACGGAGCGGGCCTCGCGCGCCTCCGGCGACCGCCAACAATGCCGGCGCCGGTGCAGAAAGTGAAAGCGTCGGCGGCACGCGCCGACTGCCTTCGAGAGCCCCTCCCCCTTGCCCGGCCTTCTGAGGTGGCCGGCGGCTCCGCAGCTGACTGCCGTTGCGGTGTCGAGTGGCCGAGATTGTCTTCACAGCCGACCATCCCTGATGCCGTCCGCTGACGCAACGGTGACCAACGCATCCGTTCGCAGCCCCGCCGTGCGTTCGCAACAGCTCGTACCACCGCCGTGCCGCCGCCGCCAACGACAGGCTCGCATGACGCCGGCAGACGTCTGCCGAGACGTACGGAGCGTTGCCCCGAGCGCCTGCCAAGCCCAGCCTGTGACAGGCGACGGAGAGGGCGCCAGTACTCGCCGGGCAGCCGTCAAACCGATCGGCCGTCAGGCCAGAGCAGAGACCGCGCCCGGCGCCCGTGAGGTCCACTGGCAGGCGACGGTGCAGCGTAGGTAGAACAGCGTCAAATTCACTGATTGGTCCAATAAAGTAAGATCTTATAACCATTACCGCAAATCATATCCAAAACTCTATCAATCGGACCTAGGATTGCTTCTCCGCGGACCTAGCGTGGCCGCGTCAGACGCCGCCCGGCGCATGCCGTCGTCAGCGTGGATACGGTGCAACGGCGGAGCTCTGCACACTGATAATCAGCGTGACCATCACACTCTCCCCCACCGTTCCCCGCATTATGGAGCATGTCCGGAGCGGGCGACACACAGCCGCCGCTTTCGCGGCGCGAGGCCGACCTCCGTCCACACGCCGAACAAGCGGCATGCAACGTCCGAGCGGTGGAGGCCTCTCCTGCGCCGCCGCCTTACACTCGCCGGCCGCGCCGCAACGGCGGACATTCACCAGTCGCGGCACGTAGAACACGTGAGAGGCGGCCTCGTCCCATCGCAAATGGCCATCGCATGAGAATGTCCGGCACAAGAACACGCGGCCGCCAGCAAAAAGTCCACATTTCTCTCGCCGACATTGCAGGGCTGGGGTCATGGACCCGCACGTGGGGGCGCCAACATTCCCAAGCCACACCATGCCAAGGTCGGTGCTTGCCCCCGTGGCCTGTGGCGCCACTGTTAAAGCAGCTCTGCCCGCCGTCAGCAGCTGATGCAGCAGCCCCGCCCGCTGTCAGCAGCTGACGTCAGCGACGCTCCACCACCGCTGTAACCGGGCGCCCGAGCATCGAGGCCGGTGTAAACACGCCACCAGCGCTACATTGCGCTCACACCCATGTCCACCCGTCGCGGGCCTTGATTCCTTTTCGGGTCGACAATGCGACCGTGGGCGCACGGGCGTTTTTGCGACGCTGGCCCACGCGGCGGCCGGGCGCCGGTGGCGGCGGCGGCGGCGGCGGCGGCGGCGGCGGCGGCCGTCGTCCGTAACGAGCCAGCGGCGGCCGCGTGGGACAGAGTCGCCCGCCCGGTCGGCCGGCTCCCACGCAAGGACGCGCGGCCGCCGCGGCGCCGTGGGCGGCCGCGTGTCGCCACGCCGACCGTGCGCCACTTCGGCGCCCGGCAGCATGGACTCAGGGCCTTGGAATTGGAATACAGGTTGTGGGCTC